TATTCTTTATGAAACTAGTTGAAATTTTGTAATTATGTCTGGTTATGAGAACTCTAGTTCTGACAAAAATATGGAATCGAAATAAAGTATATTACAGGAGATATTCAGTTGTTTTAATCATAAAATGGATTTCTATTTGACAACTAGTGCCAGTACTTTTCCGCGTATCAAGATCATCTGGTAAACGGCTATATATTAATACTGAAGCCGCGTTCGTTTTATCTTGCCGTGTTTTCTCATTTTTGGCTGCGGTAACACGGCCTGCTAGCTAAGACCCTGCTCGCAGCAACAAAAGGGTGGCAATGGTGGCAGTGTCCGTCTGACCATAAATGTGCCACTGTGACAGCCAATTCAAACAGATATAGGCTACCGGTATAATTCAACTCAAGATATCTAATTCACACACACAAGACGAGGTTTATAGATATGGGACAATGTTGGTTCACCAAGCCAGAAATGATGGTAATATGTACGGGTATCATATCATTACTGCATGGTAATAAATTTAGTATATTCCGTTGACTGATTTATTTCCAAGATTTTTATCAGTCATTTTACCTTTCTATGACAGTATAATCTTCAGGTTTTTTAAAAAGAGCTGTTATTCTTGCTTCCATCATTATATATACTTTACTTGTTTGATTCTCTAAAATATCAAGTAAACATACAGTATTTGTTTTGACATTTCAACTTTCAAGTGACTGTGTATTATTGTTATGGACGCGGGTATGAATGGAGAATATGCACGTGGTTTAACCCATTAAGTTGCATTGTGCCCCAATACGCCCTATACTTTATTATTTTACTCTGTCTAACGCCAGACGATTTTACTTGTCAATGGGTTAATAAAGAGCTTACAATTTCGAATTTCGCTCTAAAGTTGGGAAGTTGGTTAAGAATAAGAAGTTGCTTGGGCCGAGATCACAAATGTTATAAATTCAGAAACAGGTTTGTAAACGAAGCATACGATTGGCCACCGAGGCTTTCCAAAACCTGATTATGTACACTTTATAATGTTTGAAATTCCCAACAGCCTCGACAACCTACTTGACAACTTCGAAAGGAAATTCAAAATTACCAAACAATTTTCAGAATAATTACAGTACTTGCTCTGTTCATCCAGCGATTAAAAGAAAAGCAAATACGAACAGCTAAATATTTTGGATTTTGTAGTTTAGATAACATTCTAATGATAGTTCTAATACTAATAATTTTCTCGGACATGTCATTCTATATGCTTCGCCACCTGGGTCGAAAGCTTGACGCAAGCTGTTTAAACAATATTTTGTAGTCTTTTGACCTAATGATGAAGTAAACTCGGAAATGTCGTTTTTTAATAAACTCCATATTAATGAGGCTAAGAGAAAGTTTTGCAAAACTACATTTCAGAAACGTTTGCGGCCAACAAATACTACATGATGGCACAGGAATTAAATGGCTTTATTTTGTATTCGTGCCGTCTGCGTTGAGAAAACGATGTGGCCTTCTCCCCCCAGCTTTCCTTCCAGACAGGGTTGATGTCCTTTCAAATCGAAATCCTATACCTCTAATTACGGAAATTGTTGCGCACTCTAATTAAATACAAAGCAATAGTGACTAGCACACATTTTGAAAAATATTTAATATCCTACCTCTAATTTTCACATATTGTAGATCTGGATGGACAACCAAGGCCAGGTTACTAGGCAATGTCCATGGTGTTGTTGTCCATGCTATCACACTAACTTCAGGATCGTCATCCAGAGGAAAATTGACTATTACTAAAACACATTTTACTATATTAGTAAGCTCGCTCAATGAGCACTATTGTGTAGCAGATGGCGAGGTCGCTTTCAGAGTGAGAAAATAATTATCATTCTTATCTTATGTACAAGTTTTGTTTTTAGTGGCCAAAATTCAATTGTATTTGGTGGTCAAATTTCATTTTTGTAGATCCAGCCATTTTCCGATGTTGGCCCACCTTGTGCTCTTCCGTTGGTTAATGAAACTCACTAAACTAGGCCTAAAGGCCTACACACTGGCCGATTACATCAAATATTCTTCTAAATTAGCCACTTAGTCTAGGCGGTCTAGATATGGTCTAGGTATGGCCCAGACTAATATTTTCCTGATTAATGTAACCTAACTCTCCCTGCATGTGAACTTCTATAACAAGTTCAAATTATTGAGTCGATATAGAGTAAACTTATATTTCTTCCTAATCTAAAATGAGTGGGCGGAAGATTTGTTCCAATAAATTGTACATTACCAGCTGGATCAACAACATCCTTGTAATTCTGGTTTGCTTCAAAATTTGACAGAGGTGTTGTACATTTCGTGGAATATGGCATCACCTGACAAACAAATTATATTCTCATTAATAAACTAGTTTCACGAAAATTTTATTCATCCATACAATACCATTTTGTGATGTGAATCAAATTCCGCTAAACACTGCACGAAACATTACCTGCAGTGTTTCTTCGTGAAAATTTCATCCGGTAGCCATTTCAAAACCTCGTTATACATGTTTAGTCGAAAACAATCTTGCCCGTCAAGACATAACAAACAAATCTTCATAATTATTTTCAGTACTTACGTAATCAACGTTCAGAATAATTAATTACAGTAATCATAAAAGCCTAGAAGGATTACTGTACTTAAGGGAAAACTTAAATTTATAATTTTAAAACGGTAAAAACTGCAGTTTTTCTTATACAAGTACATAACATTCCAGACATACCTTAAAACCTCGGTACACTAATCCTTTCTCGTAAAGTTGTTTGAAGACCCACCTAGAAAATTAATCACTCGTGTCTCAAATAGAATTATCATGTGATTAAGGAGGATAATTACATGGACCATAGTGGTCAGATATACTACTAGTCAGATATATGAAATTGTAATTCAAAAATCCTCTCATTTAGCCGAGATAGCCTCAACTATCTACATGCAGTAATCAAATTACTGCATTATTGGCTTTGCACCACTCAGTTTGATTTATAAAACAACAAAGAAACTGGCCTTCGTACAATCGGCCCCTGTTATGTACATACCATACAGATTCCATAAATGTAGGATACATAGTTTTATAATCATTTTCAAAATCTATCCACCTTCCCAGCCTTGAAACAATTTTCTATAACAATATCAGAATAATGTCTTATCAGAGGAAGTAATTACTATAACAATCTTTTTAACATACAAATTGGTGTGAAATTTTCATTACACGAGATGCTGTTTTGATGTTTTGTGCAATCTAGATTATAATTGTCATGATACAGTTGTTAGAAAACTATTTTGAGTCTTACTCTACCCACCTGCCATTCTCCTGAGTATCTCATCACAATACTACGACATTCTTTGTTATAATTATCAATTCCCATTTTAAGAACATCTTCTGGGCCCTAAAATAGTGATTCACCACATTATTTAATTGAATGTGCATCTCTACGGATGCCATATCCTCAACTGCTGTATGATTTATATTTCAAGTTAACACTAATTACTATATCAGTTAACTTAACTATTTTTGTGCAACTGCCCGCGCGCAGTTCTCCCGCCCTAATTTTCCCGCCAGCAAGTCCTCCCCCAAAAAAACCGACTGCTAACGCAGGCTATAACAAGACGTTACTTGGGTAGTTAACTAATCACGCAGTTAACTGCGCGTGCGAGGGGTTTCCGTGGGAATAAGCATACTTTGAACCATGGAGATTGAAAAGAATAGCGGAGGCATTGCGGGATAAAATGAGGGACAGATGCTGTCACAAAATATTTTCGTAATGATATGAACACAAGTGTTGGAGTATATCTAATAACGTCTAGTACTGATAATTTCGAGCATGCGTCATTCATATACA